ATCTTGGCTCACCGCAACCTCCGCCTCCTGGGTTCAGGCAATTCTCCTGTCTCAGCCTCCCGAGTGGCTGGGGGACTACAGGCATGCACCACCATGCCCAGCTAATTTTTTGCATTTTTAGTAGAGACGGGGTTTCACCACGTTGACCAGGATGGTCTCGATCTCTTGACCTCGTGATCCACCCGCCTCGGCCTCCCAAAGTGCTGGGATTACAGGCGTGAGCCACCGCGCCCGGCCAGTGCATCACTTTTAAAAGGGAGCTCAGTTACGATCACAATGGCATTCAAGGATGTTCATTATGCCATGATTTACAAGGGCAAAACTACCTCCGTGCCCACCCCCAGGAGAAGGTTACATACAGCATGGCACATTCCAACACTGGGCTAGCAGCTGCACTTAACAGGATGAAGCAAATCTAAATCTACATGTGCTGTTAAAAGATAACATAAGATATGACACTAAGTTAAAATGCAAGCTGCAGAACAATACATTTAGATCTCATTTTAGTTAAAAAGGATAATGAGTATGTGCAAATAAAATTCTACAGTTATACAAGAAACTTTTTTTTTTTTTTGAGATAGGGTCTTGCTCTGTCCCCCAGGCCGGAGTGCAGTGGCGAGATCACAGCTCATCACAGCTTTGACCTCCTGGGCTTAAATGACCATCGCATCTCAGCCTCACAAGCAGCCACAACTACCAGTGTGCTTCACCACGTCTGGCTAATGTTTTTTGTATTTTTAGTAGAGATGGAGTTTCACCATGTTGCCCAGACTGGTCTCAAACTCCCGGGCTCAAACGATCCACCTGCCTCAGCCTCCCAAAGTATTGGGATTACAGGTGGGAGCCACTGCGCCCAGTCTACAAGAAACTTTTAGCAGAAGTTACCTGTGAGAAGTAGAGAGGAGTGGGAAGACAAAGGAGAAACATTTGTTTTTACTTCACATCCCTTCTCTAATATTTGCATTTATCATCAACAGAAGTTACTTTTATAAAAATAAATTAGTAAAAACTAAATGTCTAGCTGATATTTAAAAAGAAACACACCAGCAAGAAGTATGCCTGCAACTGGTTCTCAGAGCAATGTCCATTTGACTTTGAACTGGGGGTCAAAGGGCATACTCTGAAACTGCTGTGGAGATTGAAAGTTCACTCTCAGGCAGCTGGCTAAGCATTTAACCAAAATGCTAGTTAAACCCGATTTCATTAATATTTTCACCTTCAATGATCCAGAATCCAAATGGCCATTGGTGCTGGCCACATGCCCCGCCCATTGTATACACAGAGGCTGGCAAACACTGCCCCTCCAGCCCACGGTGAGTGGCGTCTCCCACCACACCTTGGCCCACAGAGAATATCTATGAATTAGATTCTAGTTGAAAAACAACACTAAATGACGGGTTTTTTCTTTGTACATTAAAATATAAGCATATAGGCTGGGCACGGTGGCTCACGCCTGTAAGCCCAGCCCTTTGGAAAGCCAAGGCGGGCAGATCACAAGGTCAGGAGTTTGAGACCAGCCTGACCAACAGGGAGAAACCACACCTCTAATAAAAATACAAAAATTAGCTAAGCATGGTGGCATGCACCTGTAATCCAAGCTACTCAGGATGCTGAGGCAGGAGAATTGCTTGAACCCGGGAGGTGAAGGTTGCAGTGAGCTGAGATCGCGCCACTGCACTCCAGCCTGGGCAACAGAGTGAGGCTATGCCTCAAAAAAAAAATAATAATAATAATGCAAGTATATACTTACCTCCGTTCATCATTTTGTCTTTAGCAAGCGGATGTGTTGTAACTTTACTTCCAAAACCTATTTCATGAGCCAACAGAGCAGTAGGACCTAAAAACAAAAATAAAAAGATCTAAGTGTAGATATAGAAAAACCCCATGTTTAAAAAATTGCAACAGTGCCTGGCATGCTGGCTCACGCCTGTAATCCCAGCACTTGGGGAGACCTAGGAAGAAAAACTGCTTGAGCCCAGGACTTCAAGATCAGCCTGGGCAACACAGACCCCTTCTCAACAGCAAAGTAGACTTAAAAATCAAGACGCTCTTACCAAACACACAGCTGTGATTCTGAAATGAAACACTTCTTAGTATGAGAGATAAAGTGTGTTTATAAAAAACAAATTGCTGAGCACATCTGGCAAAAGCACAGAAACTCCAAATACTTCAATAACCACTCAAGAAGATTTACCTTGATACCAGAGATAACAGAGCATACACAGATAAACACAGAGCATACACAGATAAACAAAATGTGATCATTTCTCTCCTCTCCCCCACTCCCAGAACAGGGACCAAATATACCAGCAATCCAAAGGAGGGGGAGATCACTGAGGGGTGGGCTCAACTTCTTACCTCACTCTCAGCAAAAGGAAAGATTTAGTTACATGCTAAAGTCAAGTAGTACTCTGAGTTTTTGGATCTTATTGCTCTTTTATAATTTTATTTTCTACTTGAAAATGGGAAATTAACACTCATTCATCCACCTATCCATCCAAACATAGCAGGTGGTAGGATTAAAATGAAAGCACACTGCCCCTGAAGGCGATACCCTGTGAAGTGCCTGAAGTGTGAGATATAAAGGCACTGGCATCACTTTATGAAAGCTACTTATGCAAAGAACCACACAGAAGTGTCAGTTAATGAAGTCTTTCAAAATGGGCAGGTCCTAACCAAAGATTTTTATTCAAATGTATTCACTAAAAAATGGCCAACTTCAGGGAAAGTCACAGCATATTGCATATGTAATGGTCCTCAAATAAGGATTAAAAACAAAGGTATTTTATTCCTTTAGTTTTTACTTCATCTTAAAGCTTTTTACAAAGTATTTATTCTGCCTTTTTCTCTAAGCCACACATATAAAAATTCTTCCTAAGGCCTCACATGACACCCAGAAGAATATGTTTCAGAACAGTACTCTGCCCTTGGAAACGCTCAGGGAGCTTTGGGCGGCTAAGATCCTACGGCACAGTCTGTACACTTTTGGTGTCAGCAAACCTGAGAGGTCTTGGTCTTACTGACGTTTCATTTTTCAAAAAGACTCCAAGGAAGGAGTTATATAACATACCCACAGGCTACTCAGACCGTAGTTGTTGCAAACAGGAAGATCACACAGATATTACCTAGTTACATAAGCTTTCTGCCTAATACCAGGTGTCAGTTTCAGACCAAGTCCTGACTTTTAGCTCTTAAACCAAAAGCCTCAAATGTTTCTTCTCCACATTACTTTTTGCATACAAGACAGCTGTATATAGTAGCAAATTTTAAAAATCTGTAAGAATTAAATAATTTCACTCAGTTTTTATTTGAATGAATTCATAAACTGCTTTTTTTGTTTGTTTGTTTTTGAGACGGAGTTTCACTCATGCTACCCAGGCTGAAGTGCAATGGCGCGATCTCGGCTCACCGCAACCTCCGCCTCCTGGGTTCAGGCAATTCTCCTGCCTCAGCCGCCTGAGTAGCTGGGATTACAGGCACGCACCACCATGCCCAGCTAATTTTTTGTACTTTTAGTAGAGACGGGGTTTCACCATGTTGACCAGGATGGTCTCGATCTCTTGACCTCGTGATCCACCCGCCTCGGCCTCCCAAAGAGCTGGGATTACAGGCTTGAGCCACCGCGCCCGGCCCATAAACTGCCTTTAATTTTTATTTGGTAACAGTTAAAGAGAAATTCCTACATCATCTTGTATTTTAAAGTAAACTTTAACAGATGATTGTACAGTGAGGACTGGTGAGTGAGAATTTTTAGGGTGCTCCCTTCAAGGTGGTAAAATCACTGCTACAACGATGTGAATTTACATTACTGTTGAATGCAGGAGTTTACTGATGTCTTCCTTGCTCATCATGGTAAGCTCATAATTCCTGCTTTTTGGGGCTTCAGAATCCTATTTGGAATACCAGAGAAGAGACGTTTCACACTCATAGGACCTGGGATTCTGATGGATGAAAACACTGCACTATGGTGGATGCAGAGGGTGCAGCTGACCACATCCCCTTCTGCAGTCAACAGCACCACCCTGTGGTGACTTACAAAATGACCACCTCTGCCAACTCTCCAGCTCCTCCGGGTGGCCAAGACCTTATTGCTAGACCTGGGCATCTCAGCTGAAAACTGTCCAGTCCTCCAATTCCACACCTCCTTCCACTCCCCCAACTCCACACTTCCTTCCATTCCCCCACTCAGAGTAAATCTCATTTAATTTTCTTCTCAACACAGACTCCCTTCCAACTTGCCCTCCTCATTCACTCAACATTAAGGGCTAGACTAATATTCTTTGCATTCAAAACGTTTCCAATTCCTAACTGCAACACTTCAGAAGAATAATCTTATTTTTCTGTTTGTCAATTTAAAAGATCCAAATCTCTTCCATCACTCCTCTGTTCCATTCCCATCACCTTCATCTCAATTTCAATTAGCTCAGCTCCTTATCACACTTTTTCCTATATTTGTGTAGTGCCCAGAACAGTGGTGCAGGATATCCAATAGTATAAACACACTGCTAGAATGTTACTTTTCTATTTTTTTTAAGAGACAGTCTTGCTCTGTCACTTGGGCTGACATGCAGTGGTGTGATCATCACAGCTCACTGTAACCCATCTCCTGAGTAGCTGGGACTACAGATGTGCACCAACACACTAGGTTGCTGTTTAAAAAAAATTTTTTTTTTGGGGTGGGGTTTCACCATGTTGCCCAGGTTGTTCTTAAACTCCTGGGCTCAAGTGATCCTCCCACTTCAATCTCCCAAAGTGTTAGGATTACAGCTATGAGCCACCACAGTCAGCCTATTTATTTTTAATGTTGATTTAAATTATTATAAGGCCCATGCTTCTCAGCATGGCATTTGAGGTAGCCTGAGCACAAAGTGACCCAGATGTGGTTGATCTCTTTTTTTTTTTTTTT